TGCACCTTTTTTCTGAAAAGTACATCTACCACCAACAACCACGCCACGTTCAGACACTTAAATCTCATTTTCTCTGCTTTACAAAGCTCAGTTTTACCTGCAGCAAGCTGAGAAATGAAGCTAATAGCGGAAATTCAACCTGGAAGACTCCATCCCCTCCGTTCGTCCATCGGCGTCATGCTCATCTCAGTCCTCAGCGCTGGACCTCACCTGGCGTGTCCAATCATCAATCAAGCTCAGCATAAAAGGATCCACACCCAAGTCGTCGGCCGCTTCCCAGCTGCGTTCAATCCGTTCATCTGCTCGCCACAGCTTCTCAGCCAGCACGTCTCATCTTCTCCACAGCTTCGTGATTCTCCGTCCTTCTACCTCTCATCCTGCGTTGGCCTTTTCTTTTCCCCTCAGACGCTCCTCTGTTGCAAGAGATGTTTCTCCCGATCTCAGCCTCGATTATTTCAAGCAGGCTCACCCGCCTATCTCTCACCTATCTGGGGTTTCCCGTACTCCTCGACCCACCTTCGAAAAACGTCATAATAAGCCCCGTCACCTCGTTACCTTTTAACTTTTGCCATGACGCACGACGCAATTGCTTCCCGCACAGTCAGTGAGTCCAGCTAGCTAACTGCGGAGCTCTACGTGGAGGAGACAGCCTGTTAAAATATGCCACGTAAAAGACGACAGAAACGAAGAGAGGATCCGACGGAAGCAGCAAGGCCGTCTTCCTTCGCCCGCCAAGGTCTCGCCGCACCGATCCACGTCACCTTTTTCTCCCAGCTCACCATCCATTCTCCCTCCATTTCTCCACCGCCGCTCTCGCATCGTCTTCACACCGTTGCCACGCGATGGGTCAGCCACGTCAACAGCTTCTCTCTTCCGCATGCCGCCATGGTCAGCACACAAGACCGGATTTCCCTCTCTACGCCCGTCTCGGGCTGTCGGGGTAAGACGTAGCATTCTCATGTCTCATTCGCATTATTACGAACTGCATTTCAATTAGCCTATTCTCTCCCGAGCTCGTAGGCCACTCAGGCTGCGCCCAATATGCTCAAGGGCTTTTAACTGCATGTTGAAGAATCGACTTGTCGTGTTTAGGGAGGCGCTTTAAAACGCCATACGAGCTCTAAGATTCTTCACCGGGTTTACCCCCGTGCGACAGCTAAACAGACCTGCTGCTGCTGTCTCAGCTCCGTGTGTGTTCGAATTATGGCAGCAACCAGAAATACGCAGAGCTTCGCACAGTTTCCTCAATTAACCGACTGAGTCGAGCAAGCGTTGGAGGTAGGCAATGTTAATTAATGAAGGTTTATACAATGTAGCACCTTCAGCTCGTCGACTAGTGGCCTGTAGCCCGCTGATATGTTCTAAAGAGTGTAGGACCCTCGTTATTGAACGCTTTGGAAATGTCCTCATATGAGCAGTTTTACTGCAGTGTACCTTCTGCCCCCATAAGCCATGCCCTCATGTTAACTCGTCTGGAGTCGGGGCAGCCTAGAGGGATTACTCATTCATATATCAGCACTCGTATGCGCACTCAGCTACTGAGAGCCATGCAGCCCATTGTCTCGGGTGTGTCGGCTACCGCATTTTTTATTTCAGCTCCTTTATCAGCCAACTTGTCAACCGAAGACTATGCTGTCTTTGACTGTGTCATAATACAAGTCATATTGCCAATTGTCTCTGCGCACGAGTACGTATTAATCATCCAGTAATTAGGAGTTTTGCCTCAGTTGTGAGGCATCACACGCTGTTCAGTTGCTGGCCACAGATCGTGAAGTTGACTTAAATCCCTCCATGACAATCTCGGTACAATCGTTCCAGACCTTATCAATTAAACAAGCCATGAATTCTCGCTTGCATCATCCATTTCAGCAGCTCAAGTCCTCAGCATTTTCTAACTCGTTTCACTGTCTAACCTGTTTCCGGAGAGTAATGTCAGCAAGTGATCCCGATCATCGCTCACTATAAGTTGTGTTTTAACTATAAGCCAAACCTCCACCATCTGTCTCATGTCTTCTATCGCCACCATTTAATTTAGCATACCTGCGTGTTGCATCTGG